GGGTACAGGGGGCACAGAGGGGCACCCGTGGGGCTCTGTGGGGAGCGCGGGGCTCGACTGCCCCTCTGTCCGGGCCGCGGCGGTCGCTGGGCCGGGTGGTCCCGCGGCAGGGTCCCCAGTGCCCCGGGGCAGCCCCGGGACGGCTCCGCGCGGCGCCCGGGCGGCCGGGTCGGGCTCGGCCGCGGCACTGCGCATGGGGCGACAGGGAAGAGCCGCGTGGAAGCGGCGTCAGCGCTGAGTCACGGCCGGGAAGAGCCGCGCAAGGCTGTACTTAGGGCATATTTCTAGTGCTGAGTCTGCTTCCCATGCAGGTCGGAGCCCCCGTCCCCGTCGCTGCCTTTTAGGTGGCTTTGATGGCAGGTTTTTGGAAGCAGCAGCGTGCAGGATAGCGTCAGGCTCCTACGCTGATCCCTCGTGGGGTTAAACTCCGCTTGTCCTGGACCCGCAGGTCTGATCTGTCCTTGCCGGGTTGTGCCCTGTTGCTGGAACCTCCTGTCGTGGTGATTGTTGTCTGACCCACAGGYAATTCAAGAGGAAATAGTGGAGCAGGGGCGGGAAACCCGCAGAATCCGATTCCGACCAGCCCTCCCGTGTGACCTGAGAGTAGCTTCATATGAGCAGGTCAGTCTCTCAGAATTGGAGACACTATAACTCGCTATGCCGCATACGTTAAACAGGGCTTAACCTGAATCAGATGCAGAGAAAGGGGAAGCGAATGTGTCAGYACACTGAATTTTTCAATTGCTCCCGATGTGAGTGTTCCTGGAGAGGCAGTTTGGACCTGSGACTCGGAGGCTCTGGAGAGATTTCAGCGCTCCCTTTGCCTTCGCTGGGCACATCCTTAAACCCCCTCCTTCCTTCGGCGCGTTCCCGGTGCATTCCCGGTGCATCCCAGCAGCGCCGCTCCGCGCKCCCTTTGGCAGGATTAGTGCGGGGAAGTGGCTCCGGTGCCTGCCCCGCTGCTGGGGCTGCTGCCCTCGCCCTGCCAGGGCTGCTCGGTGCCGGCTTGTCTGGCTCCTCTCCGTCGCGGTCCCAAACTGCCCGCTTCTCCCCGTGCGTGCTCCCGGTCCGGCTCTCCGCGCGTCCTCTCCCCTTGCAGGGGGCTCTTCCGTGCCTCTGGGCAGGCTCCCCCGAGGGGCTCGTGTTTCGGCCGTTGCTCGCGCCGCCCTCCGAGCTGCCTGGCCCAGGGGAGGCTTCGTGTTCACAGCTTGAACTTGCAGCTCCGTGCGTTGGGTTAGAGCTCAAATGAGCCAAACCCTCCAAGTCCTTGAAGGCTTCAGAGTGCCTCCAGAACAGCTCTGTGTGACCACCCTGCCCATTCCCAGGGCCTCTCCCTTCCTGCTGCCTCTYCCTGTTTAAATCTCCCCCGGATGTGTCCATAACCTTTGCTTATATTGCGAGAATAGGGATTAATTTTCGGCTCTGGGCAGAGTCTGGCCCAGCAGCCCAGCGCACCGTTCTGCAATAGTGATAATTGCCGCTATTGCTAAAGGTGCCAGAGGCTGCAGCCGCTCTGGGGCTGCTGGCGCTCGCGGGAGGCGCTCCGGCCGCCAGCGCCTCAGCCGAGAGCTCCAGCCTTGGGAAAATGCATCAGGTTTTTCCATCTGTGTGCGAATTCCCACCCGTCCCTCAGTCCGAACGTGGCAGTGGTAGGAAACTGTGGTGCYGCAGTTTGAGAAGTCAGCTCTGTGCAGGGAGCACACGTGTTTTTCGGTGCGCCGGCTCTGGCGCGAGGCGGGGGAGCAGGTGCCGGTCGGAAGCGGGCTCCGCGCTGCGCCCTGCAGCCGCCCCTCCTCSAGGGTCTCAGTGGAGCGGCCGCTCTGGAAGCCGGCGCTTTCACCTCCTTCCAAAAGAGCTTCCAAGGAACTGGGAATGTGCACCAGCGCTTTGAGACTGCAAATGCCTTGTAAAGGATTATGAACCCCGGGGCGAGGAACTGACCGGAATGACCAGGAGGAAAAGAGCGGAGTCTGGGCAATACGGACGGGGCGGCCGCGCTTTCCGGCCCTCATCTCGGGGCACATGGACAGAGTCCCCGGGGTTGGGACCAGGGACAACACCTGTGCCTAGATTGGCTCTAGCAGTTGGAGTCTGGAGAGGATCAGCGGCAGCCTGGTGCAAGCACCGCTCAGATCCCCACGGAAAGGCCRTGGCAAAGTCTTGGGGAGCCGCTGCTCCCTGTCTTTGTGCATTCCAGCTTCTCAGCTTCCTCCTCCGACCCCTCAGTGCTGTCTGTCCTGTCCACGGTGGCAGCTCTGGGTCCCGCTGCGTCTTTGTGGCTGGAGGAGATGCTGGAGCGGCTCCCTGCGGATCGCGACTGTGGCAGATGTGGGAGGATCCTGCAAGTCACCTGGGAGCCGCTTCCTCCGTCGCCAACCACGTCCCGTCCCCGTCGCCAACCACGTCCCGTCCCCGGGAGGGACTTTAAATCCCGCCCGGCGCCGCGGCGCCCAGAGCGGCAGCATGAGGCCGAGGAGCAGCCTCGTGCTGGGGCTCCTGGCCCTGTGCGCGGAGCTGCAGGCGGCACCCACCAAAGGCAAGTACGGCAGCCCCCTCCCTGCCCGGCTCTTAGAGGGGCTCTGCGGGCCTTCTCAGTGATGTCTGCTTAGGTATTCCTTTTAATTCTTATATTTATCAAAGATTTCTGTGGAACCTTGTGACCCAGGTGAGTTTTAGCTCTGCTTTGATTTTATGTTCTTTGCATTCGGCACAAGATTAAAAGTCAGGCAAATGCCGTAGAGATTGTCCCGCTTGCTCTGGCTCTGCCTTCTTTAATTTCCCTCCAAGGGCGTTTTCCCTGGAGCCGCCCGCCTCGCCGGGGTTCCTCCCGCCCCGCGCAGCCCTGGGGCAGCCCGGCCGGCACCGAGAGGCTCTCGCACCGCGCCCGGGGCTCCCTTCCCGGGGAGGCCGGGATGTCCATGTCCTGCGGCCGAGTGGCGAGGGACGAGGTGCCGTGGTGCCAGGACACGGGTGCTGAGCGGGAAGGGCCCTCGCGCTGGCYGAGGAACCGTCTCCGTGGCGGCGGCTCCGGAGGCTGCGGACACCAGGTCTGCAGCAGGTGCAGGGGAAGCGTGTTCTGCGGGGATAACCCAGCTGTAGGTTGTCCCTGCAGGGATAACCCRGCCATAGGGTGTTCCTGCAGGGATAACCCAGCTGCGGGCTGTCTCTGCAGGGGTATCCTGGCCGTGGGCTGTTCCTGCAGGGGCAGCTGGGTGTCCGGCTGTCCCCGCAGGGGTATCCTGCCCGCGGGGTGTCCACGTGTGTARCTTGGCCGCACTGCAGCCTCACGCTCCTCCAAGGAGCCGGAGCCGTCTCTGCTCCCTGGCGGATCCTGCAGCTCTGCTGCTCAGCGCGCTCACTTGTTCCTGGAGCACAGGGAAACCTATGTGCTTATTTCATAAACACACGTAAAAATATACGTGCTTGTATGTAGAGCATATCTCTTACTCTTAAAGAAAATTTTTTTTTTCTTTGTTAAGAATTTGCTGCGGTCAATGCATGTTTTGGTTATTTCCTCTGTCCACTTCCCAAAGCCTCCCAAAGCCAGCACAGATTCCCTTGGGCGTTTTAAGTTGTTGTTGTTTTGCAGGATGTGTCAGACGGCGGGAGCTCCGCTCGGGCGGCGCTCGCGGGGCCGGGGCCGGGGCACAGCGCGGGGCCGGGGCACAGCGCGGGGCGCCCGCGG